CGAAGAGAATGTTTTGGATTATGTGAATGTTTGTTGTTATGTATTTGTGATGTTGCGAAACAAGTTTGGATGTTTGGTGTAACTATTGAATGTTGTTATGTATTGAATGTGGTTATGATTGGTGTTATGTTTGTATGATTATTCTTATGTTTGCGAAATAATGTTCATGGTTTCAATGTGCCTATGATTGGGTGTTATGGTTGTAGAAGTGCATGGTATTGGGGTCCATTATTGACAATAGTTTAAGACAAAATGCATATGGCCCCATTTATTCTAGTTCAATATGGTCCCATGTATTATAGTTGAAGTTATATCCAATGTCACTATCAACAAATACACTACGAATCTAACTTGGGATCCCATATAACTTCCCATTGTTTTATAATTAAATTAAAATAAAGTTACATGGATAATAGAGTAATCTCCATTAAAAGGAAATAAACAACTGCTAACTATTACAACTTGTAAACAATTATGCTAAAGAAAACAATCCAACTAACAACTAAACACATCTTCAGCTTCCAAATCTTTGATTCAAGCTTCTTTTTTGATATAGCCAAGCCTGCAATCATAATTGCTTCAACACTTATATTCTTAGTGTTTGCTTCTTCTACCCAACATATAAAACCATTACGAGGTCCCTAACAAAATCAAGTTTCGAGTGAGAAGATGAGAATGGAACAAACTAATAAATTAGGGCTACAGGCACCTAATAAACAAACTAGCACACGCCTTAGTGGGGCAAGCATAAAAAGGGTTCCAAGGTTGGAGGGAGTGGAAGACATTCGTATTATGGCGACACATCCACACGAGCATTTCATCATTTTCGCTTCGTTAATTCCGAGAGCTCCTTACTTCAGAATGCAAACAATCACAGGGAAAAAGAAAGCTATTGTTGAGTAAGGAAGTAAAGTACTTATAAAGAGAAAATGACGAAAATACCCCTTGATGAAAATACCCCTTTTGTTTGACCTCATGCACATCTTTCATAGTTGGTGCACCAAACACAATTAATTTTCATTAAGTAAGGCAACCAAATCGTTACCCTTAATCAACAAAAATGAACGCAAGAAATTATAACCCATTCAATCACTTTACATTACATCAAGATCATACCAAAACACCTGTTACATGTAACCAGGACTTCAAAATACATCCATAAATTACCTTTACAACAACCACTGGATTACCACTACCTACACAAACTGTATTACCACTAACACAAACGAACACACATAATCTTAATAATGTCACACCCCAAAACCATGAATAGCGGAAACGTTCTGGGGTGGAGGACGTCATGAGTATCACAGCACAATAAATGTAAATAAGAAAACAACATCATCCATTGCTTTAAATATATAATTTTAATACAAGCGTGTTCTGTACAGTTATAGACACCAAAAATAATGTAAGTCAAAATAATAAGATGAGTCTTGGATGCGCTCCATCTTCTCAAAAGCTGGTCTCGGTACCTGTCTACTGATGACCTGAGAATACAAGTTATTTTGAAAGAGTTTATCAGCATTAAGCTGGTGAGTTCATAAGTATTTTAGTGTTGGTATTTGTGCAGCCAAAAATGTTTGAACATGTCTGAAGTGTAAGTTTGTAAAATGTAAGTAAATGTTTGTAAGTGTTTGTACAAGTTTGAATCTCTCAAAAAAACCTATATTTTCTATTAAAGTAGCCTTCTATGAAGGATTAACTGTTTTGTATGCTCGTTTGTTGTAAAAGTGTGTAAATTTCCCAAGTGTAACTATCATTTAACAAAATATAGTTTGTACATTAAAGTTTAAGTGAAACAATCACTAAAAGTATGTAATGGGTAAATTATTGTGTAGTACTTAGTGTTGTATTATAGGAACTACTGCTGTACTAACTACCTTAAACCGGATTTATATTAAGGTATCATGTGATAAATTGCACCATACTATCGACTGGTAACAACGACATACAAATGGTCGTAATAACGTAATGACGTTTGGCACCCGCAGACCTACAGGTCCGGCTGTAGCTAGCAGCAAGGTGTAGGATAGTCAATCCAGTATAGATCTATACGCAAACTCACGCTCTCCCTCCAAGAGAATTCTGGCTACAACTCGGGCCATGACATTTAAGGCATGCTCTGATACAGTGAATCACAATTGTTAACGTATTCTTGTATATGTAATGTAATGAACTGTTCTAGTATAGTTGTAGATGTCCTTCCTCTAGTATAGTTGTATATGTTCTCTATCTAGTATAGTTGTATATGTTCTCTTTCTAGTATATTTGTATAAGTACTCGTAGTAATAAGTATTGACTCATGAATGAACTGACTCATTTATCTAGAAATTGTAGTAGTATGATCCTATGTTACCCCGATGGTAACTTACTGATGATGTACTGATAAGTATGAATATGTAAGTACTTTTATGTCTATACATGTATATTTTATATATAACTAATATTGAAACGACCTTCGGACGGTTACCCGAAATCCCACCAGACCACATCCAAATCGAGAAAAAGGAAATAGGGCGGATGGCCTTCCTAAGCCCTTTAAACATTTCTTATATATCTATACATATATGGGCATGCAATTTATAAGAAGTAAAACAAAGTTTACTAAAAGCATTTGATAAGTAAAAGAGTTTGTAAAACATTTTAAAGTAAAACAGTTTGATAAACAGTTTGAACAGTGATAAAATCATTGGTTTTCTAGTTATTAATCGCATGTGATTAATGTAATCACATGTGATTGATGCAATAACTATAAGCATTTAACTTGTATCCCCCCATAAAGTATTTAAAACATTTAAAAGTATTTCAAAGGTTAATTAAAGGGGTATGAACTCACTTGTGGTGAGTGGATTGGATTGAAGTATCGGATACCGTGCTTGGTGGCAAACGGGGACTTGTTCACACGCACGAGCCTAGTTATCGTATAATGAGCATATATATAACTAATTAGCCAAATAATAACTTAATGAAATAAGTTGGGACACTTAGGAACATCTAAACACTTGGTATAAGTGTTTTAGGTCCTAAGGGTTGCTTCTAGGTTGTTATGGGACAAAGCTAAAGGGGTTTAAAGCTTCCAAGGACCTTGTATAAGTGTTTACTACTCAATAAACTCCACACAAGGAGTTTACAGTCGTAAACCCTTGCGTTTACGGTCGTGAACTCCAATCTTGGTGGTTTTTGGTGTTTTGAAGTGTTGTTTGATTTCTAGAATAAGCCTTGCTTGGTGGTTTAATCCTTTGGGTAGTTTAGGGCCTTAAAATACTCCTTTGAGGAGTTTACGGCCAAAAGACCATTTCTTTTGGAGTTTACAACCGTAAACTCTCAAGGGATGGGTGTTTTAATTCTTTCAAGTCCCTTGCACAAGTAGGATAATTTCTAGGCTTTTGTTTAAGGCTAAAGGGGACCCTAGGCACACTTTGGTGCCCTTACTTGGTGTTTACGGCCCAAGAGTAATTCCTTGGCTGTAAACTCCCTTTAAGGGGTGTTCTTGATGTTTAAAAGTCCATAAATTAGCTAGGATTAAATGGGTATTAAAGTCTAAAGCCTTAGGAGTGATTAGGGCACATTTTGTCCCTTGAATTTGGAGTTTACGGCCTAAGACTTTCTTGGGCCGTGAACTCCTAAAGCTATGTGTTCTTGATTGTTTTCTAGCCTTAAATGTACATACATATCATCCTAAGCTAGTTACCTAACAAGGAAATGGGACTAGATGACCTTTAAGCTTCGTTTTGGAGTTTACTCCTCAAGAACGTTCTTGGGCGGTAACCTCCCAAATCTCACATATTTGACATGTAATCTATGTTATTAAGCATATAACAAGCATTATAAAACAACTAGAGAAGTGTACTCACGATTTGGGATGAAAACCCGAAGATCTGTGAGAGAGAAAATGGCTTTTCTCTAGTTGGAAATGTGAATAATGAATGAATTTAGTTCAGAAATCTATTTATAGTCCTGAAATATTTTTGGCAGAAAATATTTTTATTCCGGAATTGATTTCTAATATATCAGGGTGTTGGAATAACAGTGTTGCACAAAACCGTAATGCATCCACTCTCCTGATATTTACTGAAGTGTAAACCCTAAATTACTCAAACTTATACGAAAAGTCTGAAAATCGACTATGATTGTTATAACTTCTTTTGAAGTGATACTGTTTATATAGAATGGAAATTTCGGGTTGTCACAAATAACATTTATGAAAAGAAACACCATTAAACCTATCAGTGGATTATAGGAACTTGATTATCATACCACTACAAACCACTTCCATGAGATTCACTTGCTGATTATCAAGTGAATGATGAAAATCATTAGCACGAGCATCACGACGACAACACCCACAACTGACAGTGCAATCACTTTAATCTGCTTCTCAATAATTACAAACCTCTGCTGCATGTTGAGGACATCCACCCTGGAATGAAGGTAATTGCGACCAATCTCCTCCTATACGCTCCACCTGACCTTTTTGCTCAACTATCTTTTCACCACAGTCATAAAAAGATCGTGTGCAAATCGTTTAAGTTAAGCCCATATGTTGAGCTTATCAAGTTATTCAAGTTATTGGAATTTATAGTATCTAGTGATGGTGGTGGGGTAGGATCCATGGAAGACAGTTAAGGGCAAAGCGAGTATTGTATTATCGGCTGTTGGCTAGTGTTTGGCTGGAAGTGGTAACAAAAGTTTTGGGTTTTGTCCAACAGACCCTTCGATTATATAGTATGGGACCACTGAACCCTTAGAGCCCAAGCAAACCAACTCGGTCATGAGTCGTTGACGTGTAATCCGAGTCGGGTGAGTTGACTCGCTAACTTAGTTGGATGATGACTAGACAAGGAAACCGGTTGAATTGGGTCAAAATCCTAAATTAGCCGGTTAAATGTTAATTCACGCACTTACCAAAAAATAACATAAGAGATATTTTAAACAAAAATGTGTAAGTTTGTGGGTATATAGTGACATTTTCCCTATTATTTTGTGTGATTTGGGTGAAAAAAGAAAGAACAACCCTAAGGCCCTTAACTAAGCAAAAAGCTTGAGCACTTTCAAATTGGTTTCCGCTTATCGCTCCCCTTTTACCACCTAGACGTCATCACTCGACACCACAAATCGGAAAATTTGTTAAACAAAAAGCCCTAATTGTCAAAACTCACTCCCTCCCAAAATTCCCAAGTCAGCGTAACCTTCGATCCTTGTCAGAAACGCTTCCATTCTGGCATGAGATCTCATTACCACACCATTTTCAACTGTTTATATTAATCAGTTTGCTTTTAGTTTCTGGGGTTTTCTTCGAATTGTTAGTTGAAGAGGGTGCTTCTTTAGCCTAGTCCATCAACAATGTCAGAGGACGTGCTTCTACACCTCGCCTCAAACTCCTCTAATCAATCCGATCAGTCTCTACCATCAAAAATTGCAAAACTCGAAGCCAGAATGGTGGGTAAAACCTCCACTGCCGTGGTGTCTACTCTCCAGCTTCCTGCTGCCCAAGCCGCAGCAACGCGGTCCTCAATTTCTTCTTCTTCTGCCGCCAAGTTCGGAGCTAATGCTGCTGGTGAGATTTATGCTGAATCATTGGATTCTAGCGATTCGGAAGAGGATGATAGTGTGAGTCTTTTGAACTTATTCTGCTGAAAATCATCTATACTTTTGTAAACATGACATAATTTTTGCTTTGCATAACTTTGCATATGCTTTAGTTTTAAGTATGATTTGATAACAACGACAAATTCTGATTTCAATGTAGAAGTCACGTGAATGCCCTCTTTAGCATAAGTAGTTTACCCAAACACTAGTTACAATAATGTGATAATCACTTTCAAAGTTGATATCCAAACACCACTGAGCATGCATTACACAGAGACTTTAGACGTGATAGGTTTATAGTTGCAAGCTCCAGAAAATCTAGTTTCATTTTAGGCACTACGACCCAAATGTTTGTTTGAACACCATAAGTTTCTTTTGGTACTATACTTTCAATCTCTTCTTATTTGCTTGTTAACTCTTCCCTAGAAGTGTTTGTTTGTGACTATTTGTCACTGATCACAAACATAAGCAGTAGATCACTGTCAAGATCCACAATCAACTGCATGAACTTAAAGAAGTTATATAGATACATGGTTGTATAGAACGAGTGTCTTCTTGGCTCCATAAATCCACAAGAGATGTTAAATTTGTCTGTTAATCCTTCTATGTACATATAGTATAGGGCTGAAGCTTGAATGCAAGAAGCAGTAATGTATTTTCATATATTTGTTTATTACAACATCCTACTTTCATTTCTTTCTATTACAAAAACTACCCAACTTTAGCATTGTACATTTCAACTTTTTTCTTATTATAGCAGTCAAATTGCTTTGTATTTGGATGACCTTTGCTATAATTGGGTGGATTTTTCACAGTAAATGTTGAAGAAATGAAAGTAGGATGCTATGATAAACAAATCAATGGAAGTACATTGCTATTTTCTTGCAATTAACCCTGCTAGTATGATACTACCTAGACATACATTAGAGTAAGAATCTGTTGTTTATTTTGTCTCATTAAGTGTTGTCTAGAAAATGACATCTGTCTAGAGTAGAAAGTTAATGAAAATTATTGCTTTCTTTGTTTGCTGAATAAACAGTTTGAATTATATTAAATGACCATTTTACCCTTATGTGAAGAATTGTATGTAAGAAACTAGTGCTGAATTAACAATGACTGTTTGATTAATGCTGTGAATGAAAAGTTTAAAGTGGTAAAAACATGTGAACCTATAAATTATTTAGAGAATATTTATATATGATAATATGATATAATGATATGAGTTCAATGATTTGTAATCTCAACATCATTAATAATGCAAAGTGCAAGCTGTTCAAATGTCCAACCATATAACCAATAAATGCAAAAGTAAAACATAAGGATTAAAATATCGGATCAAGTTATCAACATCTAAATTACCATATAACTAATAAAAACGAGATCTAAAACAGTTGCTATATGTTTAAAAACAGTTATATTTTCATATTAGCTAATCTTTAATCTTCATTTCTTTTCTAGAATGGGAGAGAGTTTCTCATACAAGCTAACTTTCAGAAGCGTAGAAAGCTTGCAGATGATGCTGACTCAGCTGCATCTGGACAGATTAAGGTTTATTTATTGCTTAAATCATTAATATTAGTTTTACTACTAACCATATTATCCTTGTTTCATTTTCATTATATCTCAAACTTTCATATTCTTAATTTTTTTATTAACAATATGATGGGTTGCTACCCTACTTTCATTATTTATGCTACAACATTGTACTTTAGAAAATCCACCCAATTATAGCAATTACATTCAAATTCAAAGCAATATTCAGTTGGGTAGATTTTTTCAAAGGATAATGTCTTAATAAGAAAAAAGTTGAACACATGATGCTATACTTGGGCATGATTCTAGAATACAATATTGTAAAGGAAATAATGAAAGTGGGTGCTATAATAAATAAATAAATAAATAAATAAAAGTATGTTGCTATGTCTTACATTTACCCTTTTTTATAATTGGTTTAAGAGTATTTTTTGTGATTGGAAAAAATCTAGGTGGCAGTGGATGCGAGGCAAAAAGTTGTGGAAGCAGTGGAGGTTAAGAGTGGCACAGATGTAAATAAGAGGAAACAAACGCGTGGTAAAGGAAATTCTACTCCAGCCAGAGGGACGTGGTTCCAATGATCAAACAAGAATACAAAATTCTACTCAATTGCTTACATCATCAAATGGTCTTCTTGAGAACTCACATCAAAAGGTAATGTTTTTATGCATAGTTACATACATACATAGATGCATACATGCTTATATACATACATATATAGATACATACCTACATACATATATACACACATATAACTCATACATGCTTATTGACATAAATATATAGATACTTACATATTTACACATACATACATACATGCATACATACATATGTACTTACATACATATGTACATATATACATATATACATACATGCATACATACATACATACATATATACACATATTTGTTTTGTGTTCGTCACGTTGAAGTAACTACCAAGTCGTTTGTGTATAATATTTATGGTTATTATACATGACTGGATGTAAGAGTTTGGTTGTTCGTCATATGTCTAAAATACCCTTTAACAATGCGAAATCTTACAGACAAAACTCAATACTACTTATGTGAAATAGGTACTTTTAACATGTAAACTTCCCTAAAAGGAATCATGGTTGTGGATATGTTATGAGTCATCTCAAAAGTGGAAAGTAGAGTAATTTTTTATGACTTGAAAGGCTACTAAAATTACTATATATATATATATATATATATATATATATATATATATATATATATATATAAACAGTATTATTAACTTTGAGGAAAGTATATTGTCATTTATGAACAATATGGAAGTTGCAAATATGGAGGAAAACCATGCTTTAGTGTATAGTACATTATGATGTAAATAAAGGAAACAAATCCGTATATAAAAAGTTAAAAACTAAAAAGAGTAAAATCATCATTTCTGAATGTCTGATGCTGACTCTCCCTCTAATTTATATATCTTGTGGAAATGTGCAAGTCTGTAAAATTCTAAATTTCTTTTTTATTTTTACATTGCTCAGTTACTCTTATTTTAAAAATAACATCATCTCCATTTTTGTTTTATTGTGTAATAAACTCATGATCACCTTTTTTTTTTTTTTTTCTAAATATATTTGCAGGAGAGTAGTAGGCTAAAAGAGCAACTTGGACAAAATGAACGTGCTTTGTTAGATGTATGATTGACTAAACAAATTACTTGCATTTATCATTATCGTTTATTTGTTTTAACCTAATTATTACTTTAAAAAAAAAAAACAAATTAGGAGGAACTTACATCACTACGTGCCAAAATAACAACTCTAGAGGAAGACTTAAAAAAAGCTCGCCAAGAGGCCTCAGAATATCAACACCTATGCCAACAGTTGGAAAAGGTACTTATTTACCTTATTCTCCTTAGAACTATTCCATATATAAATATATATATATATATATATATATATATATATATATATATATATATAATTTCATATTTATGTTTTTTCTTGTGATTTACAGGAGCTTAAGGAGCTTAAAAATAATGAACAGCAGGTGAAACCAAAAGTGAGTTTTTTGTTATATGTTATACTTTTTATTTTTTATTTTTTATTTTTGTAATAAGATAATTACATTTATGACCCTGTATTGCAGAGAATGAAAGTCATATCTGATCTGTTGATATCTGTGTCTAAAGCTGAGAGACAAGAAGCAAGAACAAAAGTAAGACAAGATTCTTTGCGACTTGGCAACGTGGGTGTTATCAGGTAAAGTATCTAATAAATTACAGAACTGGTCCCTGTGTTTTCTGATTTTTACAGTGTTTAGTCTAAAACCAAAACCTTTTTTAGTGTTTGTCCTTATTTTTAAGTTCTCGTATTATGATATCAAGCCTGCAATAACGACCAAAATCAATTAGAAACCATGAAATAAGGAGCAAAAAGTAAAGGAAAGTTTCAATCTTGGACTAAACACGGTAAAACCAGAAAGAATAGGGACTGTTTCTGTAAATTACTCTTTTGATATCTAATTCTTTGCTTTTTTTTTGGTAAAATTACAGAGCTGGAACAGTCATTTCTGAGACTTGGGAAGATGGGCAAGCCATTAAGGATCTTAATGCTCATCTGGTCTGTTCTATTTGTTGCTTAATTTTTTTTCTAATCATGTTTCCATTATGTTAATAAAAAAACATTTGAAAAAAAACAAATAAAGAGGCGTTTGTCTATGATCTATGACATGTATATTATTACTTACAATTTCATATTGTGATTTCTAGAGGCGTTTGTTAGAATTGAGGGAGGCTGTTGAGAGGCAACGAAAATCACTAAAGAAAAAGCAACCAGGTAAATCTTGATCTGTTAATCTGTTTCTTATTTTTTCAAGTCACTTAAATAATAAACAAATAAATGAAAAAAGCAACATGAACATGATTTCCTAGATTTTAATATTTTTGTTCTAATTTCTAACCAAGTTTAAAGCCATTCATCTTTATATTAAGATAAAGGCGAAGGAACAGAAGCCGAATCTACAGAAGAAGACATCATCATCCAGGATGAAATTTATAAATCCCGCCTCGCAAGCATTAAACGTGTAAGTTTTTATTAGAGTAAATTACATGAATGGTCGCTATGGTTTGGGGTAATTTGCACGTTTGGTCCCTAACTTATTTTTTTAACTCGGAAGGTCCCTACTATTTGTTTTTGTTATGCACTTGGTCCTTGTCTTACTTAAAAAGACTATTTTGCCCTTGATTTTTTAATTTATTTAAATAAACACACCCCAACCTCACTTCCAACTCGCCTTACCTTACCTATCCCACTTTATTTAAGTAAATTAAAAAATTAAGGGCAAAATAGTCCTTTTAGGTAAGATAAGGACCAAGCGCGCAACAAAAACAAATTGTAAGGACCTTCCAAGTTAAAAAAATAAGTTAGGGACCAAACGTGCAAATTACCCCAAACCATAGCGACCATTCATGTAATTTACTCTTTATTATTACCACATAATTTTTTTCCCAATATAATTAGTTTCCACTTTTTAAATTTGATGAAATATAACAACAGGAAGAGGAAAGCTATGTTCGTGAAAGAGATAGATATGAACTAGAAAAAGGACGACTTATACGTGAAATGAAACGTATAAGAGATGAAGATGGGTCCCGCTTTAATAATTATCAGATCCTTAATCATCGATATGCTCTCTTAAACCTTCTTGGAAAAGGAGGATTCAGTGAGGTTTACAAGGTCAGTTTTACTTTTTTCCTTTAATCATTTAATCTATATACACATACAAAAACACGTGACAACACCTAACTAATATATATTTTTTTAAAAAAAAATCAGGCATTTGATTTGGTGGAGTATAGATATGTTGCATGTAAGCTTCATGGTTTAAACGCCCAATGGAGTGAAGATAAAAAGCAAAGCTACATACGTCATGCAATAAGAGAATACAATATTCATAAAACTTTGGTTCATCATCACATTGTTCGCCTATGGGACATCTTTGAAATTGATCAAAATACTTTTTGCACCATTTTGGACTATTGTAGTGGTATATGTATTCTAAACCCTAAAACCCTAAACCGTAAATTGCAAAAGACGTGAATGCCCTTCTCATTCTCATCAAATCTAAATCTATATTATACAGGTAAAGATCTTGATGCTGTTCTTAAAGCAACCCCTATATTGCCTGAGAAGGAAGCTAGGATAATTATTTATCAAATATTTCAAGGACTTATTTACTTGAACAAAAGAAACCAGAAGATTATTCATTATGATTTGAAGCCTGGAAATGTCCTTTTTGATGAATTTGGTGTTGCAAAAGTAACTGATTTTGGACTTAGTAAGATTGTAGAGGATGATGTTGGATCCCAAGGCATGGAGCTTACTTCTCAGGGAGCTGGAACATATTGGTGAGAGCTTTTTTTTTATTTTTATTTTTTGTCATATATTATTATTAATAATTAATTTCCTACATATTCTCAGGTACCTTCCTCCAGAATGCTTTGAGCTAAGTAAGATCCCCCTCATTTCATCAAAGGTCAGTCATTCATACATAAACAAATATTAAAAATTTCCATTCTTCCTTTTTTTTTAATTATTCATTATGACTTGTTGCGAAAAATGAAAAATGAAAAATGAAAATAGGTTGACGTGTGGTCAGCTGGTATCCTGCTTTACCAAATGCTATTTGGGAAACGACCTTTTGGACATGATCAGACGCAAGAGCGCATATTGCGTGAAGATACAATAATTAAAGCTAGAAAAGTTGATTTCCCTTCTAGACCTTCTGTCTCAAATGAAGCAAAGGTCAGTAGCATTTGTTTCATATTAATTTTGCTATTATCAGTTGATAAATTAACATGAACAGAATATTTTATTTTTTTTCTTTCAGGAATTTATTCGGAGATGCTTAACATATAACCAAGAAGAAAGACCCGATGTGCTAACAATCGCTCAAGACCCTTACTTAATATACTCCAAGAAATGACCCGAAAATTGGAAATTTTCCTGAGTAATTGTCAAGTGTAAGGTTTCCTTTTTTTTTTTTTAATTGCTCAAAAGTTGGGCTTTTTGTTATGTGTGTTGTCAATCCCATGACACCCTAAAAAACATTTCTAGTCTCTTTTGTATGGGTTTCCTTAGTTGGACCTTTTTTTTAATGTAAATATAACAATGGGATGAAGTGGGGTATTCAAGCGATGTATAATGTTATTCTTTTGTGACATGACATGAAAGTTAGACTTCTTGTTTTCGTGAGTGCATGCGTGTGAAATGGCTTTCTATTGGATGGTTGTGTAAACATGTAATGATCGATAATAAACTAACTGTTTGGATTTTTTTGTTTTGTTTTTTTTTTAAATAAAAATTCATAAAGTTTGAATAAACAATGGCAATTCAAATAAGCAACAACATTAAGCACATGTATGATAAGTTCAAACAATTGAACAAATGGGTAAACTTTTTGAAATTACTCAAATTATTAAGTTCTCCACAAACGAACATGTTATTGTTATATCTGTATGACTGTATCTCTACTCTCAGTCCCCTTTAGACATAAATAATAAGTAGACATTATGAACATAATCAATATGGTAGAAGCAACTTACATCGTCACCTCTAGAATTTCAATTTTATCGTTCATCCATCATAACAAAACAAACACACACACACACGCAAACACATCTTCTCATGATTTATAAAAACCATCAATATTCTCACATGGCATCCTATGATCCTATTACATATATAATAAGAAGGTAGAAAAAGGACAACCAAAAAGTCAAAATAATTTAAAAAAAAAACAGGAGAAAATGCCACAAGGCTTTATAAGTTTAACAAAATTTTAATAGTTTTACTTAAACATCATTTTTTTTTGTGTAAAAGTTGAAACTTAAGAAACTTTTTTCATTTATAGCAATTTGAAGGTTTCTCTAATTGATACTCCATATGATAGCTAGAGTGGCGCTAACCGGGAGAAAGTGAAAGGAAATGAGTTTGCATGGAATTGAACCCACAACATGGAATTGCATGTACTCTATATCGTGAGCTTATTTTATTTATTTTTCTATTTAATCCCTTAATACTTATTTTTGTATTTAATCCATTGTGACCTATATGTGTATTAATGCGTATTAATAAGTTTTTTATTTGCATATTTATAACTTTTTACTGGATTTTTGTATATAATGCGTACCTTTATATGTAACATATTTATATATTAATATGTATAAATGTATTTTAGATTAAAACCATACAATCATACATATATGCGTATTTTTAGCCTATGTTTTTTAATATATTTTTTGTAAAACATATTTAAATGTATTTATATGTGAATTAGACTATTAGTAAGATTTTATATACATATTAGTAAGGTTTTATTATTATTATTATTATTATTATTATTATCATTATTATTATTATTTTATTTAATAAATAGCTAAGCCCGATCTATTCCACGCGATTTTTTTAATACATATGGATACATATTTATATGTAAAAAAATGTATATATATAAAAATATGTTTTATACATGTGTGTATCACTATCTATAAAAATTCGTTTTTATACACAATAATCGTTTTTAATAAAACAAAGGGAAAAATAGGAAGAAAATACATAATATATGTTGAAATACATTGAAAAGACGTAGAACACGTAGTCATACGTGTGTGTATATATATTCTAACTAAATTGTATGGAAGTGAGTTTAACAAATCCTCTTCTTTTCTTCCCTTTTTAATTATAAAGTTACGGCTATGTTGGCTAGCCATATGGGATGGTAACCAGAGATACCTTTAAATTGCTATAAATGAAAAAAAAAAAAACTTCTCAAATTTCAAAATTTTACACACAAATTTTGTTTGATGTTGGGGTAGAAGTGTTAAAATTTGCCAAACTTAAGACCTTGTGGCATTTTCCGTAAATAAAATCAACTAATGTCGATTACCAACAATTTCATCAATTTGTTAAAAAAAGATTTTTTTCAACACTTTTAAAAGAAATGCAGACCAGAATAGGAGTTGATTAGATTTCCATTTCTCTTACTTTGAAATTTTGATTTAAAGTCTAACACAATTAAAATTTTAGCATGCTTTTATCATCCATAAAAAAAAAAAAAAAAAAAAAAAAAAAAAACTACCTACCAACCTTTTTCTCTTTTTCAGGTTTTTGTTTAAAATATATGAACCGATATATTCAACAAAACCCATAAAATATATATGCATTTTGGTCAATTGACTCAAACTTATATTATTCCAATAGCTTCCTTGAACTAAACTGAATTGTACATTCACGCGGAAAAGCATTCAAGCTTCCTCCAATGGCGTTCTCTCTCTACTAACCTACGCAAGAGACAAGACTCCCCTTTCTATTTATACTTGTCTCTTCCTTCTCTTCAAACACAAAGAGATTGAAGGAAAACAACCAACAATGTACAAGAGTAAGCTCAACGAATTCTGCCAGAAGAACGGATGGCGAAACCCAAAGTATTCCTGCATCAAAGATGGCCAAGAACATACACCACTTTTCAAAGCTTCTGTTCTCGTCAATGGTGAAACTTTTACTTCCCTATCCGTCTTCAAATCTTCCAAATCCGCTCACAATGATGTAGCTTCACTAGCTCTCTCTCACTTCACAACTTCTTCTCGTATGTCCTTCTATTTCCATATACCCTAATTACATTCATCATTCATCAATCTTTTCTTTTTGATCTATAAATGTTTGATTTATAATGGTTATCTTACAGAATCTCTTTCGTTTGGTTTTAGGAGAGTTAAGCAAGAATATCGAGTTATGTTTGCCGGTTTTACCAGAAGAAAAAGCCATGGCAACTGCATCTCTTCCTAGTGAAACAACCCTTTCAATTAATAAGGAGACTAATTCGAAAAAGTTTAAGGAGAGTTACTTGATATGCAATAAAGTGAGAGTGCACACATCTATTCCTACTACGGTGTTGCCTAATGGAACTGTGATGCTTCCCATTGGAGAAGACAAATGGACGGTTGTGAGCTTGGAATCTGTGTAGCTATAATCGTTATGTAAATCATATGCTTGAATGCATAAGATATTAAGTATTTATTGCCCTATTTGTTTAAGCATCCATGACTTGGTAATGATATTTTTAATAGAAACATGTACATATCTTGTGAAGATGCATGGGTCCTAAAAATTAGAAAATCATAGTACTTGCTACCTGGTTATTGATTTTTTCGATAGTTTCCTTATTTTTCTAGCTTATTGTCAAACATAAAGAATTTATTCGAAGCATTTTCAACCGATTTGTGTTGTAAACGAAGACCAAACTTTATATCGATGATGAGGGCCATCATGGTATACATGGTCATGAAAACAAGTCGTGCACACTACCCCGACCATTAGTGGTCATGTGTGCTCGTTGTGGGTCTTCTGGACGACAAAAGCAAACAGCTAAGCAGGCCCTACAATTAATCAATTCAATAAATATTCAACTTGTTTTGTTGATTTCTAGTGCTATTAAAGGAGTCATTTAAATGTTCTAAGCTTGTATATATAACCAAGGTTGAGTTTAGGAATGAGTCGGAGTGTTGAATAGTGAAAAATTGGGCCATACACACCTCTTGGAGGAGTGTACGGCCGTACACACGGGTGTGCGGCCGCACACCCACTCCCTTGGTAGTACAATCACTTTTGGGCAGCACCTTTACCCCTATATAAAGGGTAGCCCCCTTCCTTTCATTCCTTTAACACTTTGGCAGCACACAACATCATTTCCTCTCAAGTTTCTCCAACTTTGAACCTTCCAAAGCTTCAATAACGTGAGTAATCCATCCCTTAACTTGTTGTGCTTGAAGAACATCTTGATCTAGGCCTTGAATCATGAAAGTCCTGTCATGTTCTTCATCTCGTTGAAGGAGTGCGACCACACACCCGTGTGTGCGGCAGCACACTCCTGTGTGCGGCCACACACTCATGTGTGCGGTAGCACACTCATTTGTGCGACCATACACACACACACCATAGGACCACAAACCCAATTCTAAAACCCCAAACTTGTACTACAACCAAGTATGGGCCTAGGACACTTCATGGATGCAAGTATGGACCTTGAAAACACCTTTAAAGTGGCCATACACCTCATTCATGCAATCCTTGAGGTCCTAACACTTAGTGCAAGTAGTCCCAAGTTCTTAGAATGGTTCTTCATCACATCTAGTGGTGAAATACCATCATTTGACTCCTTCATGTGTCATTACTTGTTGATTAGGATCAAATCGCGTTCAAGGCTTCACTTGAACATCCCACATTCCGTATCGATCCTTCATTCAAATCACCCGAGGTGAGTTCATACCCCTACATTTTCCGTATTTTTAATGTTTTCAGGGGAGGAATACAAGCCAAACTCAAAATATTTTATTAAGTTTTAAACTTATTAATGCAGTCCAACGATTTCCACGTTTAATAACATATTCCAATATTTTATCTCTTTTGTAATATGTTGAGCATAAGGGAAACTTCTATTCTGGAAATCTAGCTTCATAGTTTACAAAGCATTTTCCATATCAAATCTAATAAACTATAATGAGTATAGTTTGGGATAACCCTTTAGGCAGTCTCTACTTAATCAGATTTCATAAATGAATATATATATATATATATATATATATATATATATATATATATATATATATATATAAACTATGGCAGATTTAGTTTATGTTATATGTTTTCTCAGGGGTATAAAGTACATTTATTCAAGGATAATTACTGTTTTATACTGATTTCTCACTAGTAAACTAGATTATACAGAATTGTGAGGCGCTACTTCAATACTGTACCCTTAGGTGTATAGTGATAAATCCTTTTAGTATAACCAGAGTCTCCTCGAGGGAGAGCATGAGATTTGTGAATAGATCTATTCGGGACTGACAATCCCACACCAGAACTGCTAGGTACAGTAAGGCGGGCACGCCTGTGGTGAAAAAATGTCATTTAGCTTAACGCATGAAGAACGTTATAAAGGTCTCTCGATCATATCAAGTATAGTTATACGACTCACAAAATAAGTATAAACTAACTTTGTTTACGGACTCTATTCTTCATTTGTTTTATTTTAAGTAATAAAACTACTTTTATATATGCTGATAGCAATCAAGGATTTCTAAACTGGCATCTCTACCTCTAGGACGAATAACATGTTTTAGGAAAAATATAGGATTTTCCCAGGATAACACTAGCATTTCTAAAACTAATGGTTTGCATTCTACCGCTAGATACTCTTTCAACACTACCTTTCATAAGAAAATATAGGATTTTCTTAAGGGACACTTTTTCAAAAGAATCAAAGAACATTTTTCTATAAAACTAAA